ATTCTATACCTACTACATAAGCTTATCCTATATTTATATCCTAGAAAACTTACTGGGGATAATGTCATGATTCAGGAAGTCTGAGTACCTGTCCTTGTAATGCAGAGTGTGATAGGGAAAATAATCAGTTGCAGAGCTCTGTTAGTTTGAGTTAAATTGTAGCAGCTGTCCTGGTGAAAGGTAAATTTGAAATTTTAGTGAAGATCTTTCTTTCCAAATAGCAGCTACTAAGAGCTAGTATTTAGAAAATTTTTGAACCTATTGACATTTTTTTCCCATAATACTATTGAATTTGAGCTGGCCCCTTAGATAACTACCAGTTTTTGTTTCTGACATAATGTGATACAGCTGTAACAGTGACATGTTACCAGCAACTAAGAGGCAGGAAGCGCATGGAGGTTGACACATGGTGCTCTTCAAGTGGAGTCTTTCTCTGGGAAACACTCACCCCTCCAAAGGTGTCCACTTTCCCCACTTCTTTGGGAAACATTTGGACCTTTTTACACCATCAATCAAAAGCAGAACTAAAAACATTATATATTTTTTAAAAATATATATTTTATTGATTTTTCACAGAGAGGAAAAGAGAGGGATACAGAGTTAGAAACATCAATGGGAGAGAATCATTGATCAGCTGCCTCTTGCACACCCCCTACTGGGAATGTGCCCGCAACCCAGGTACATGCCCTTGACTGGAATCGAACCCGGGACCTTTCAGTCTGCAGGCTGACGCTCTATCCACTGAGCCAAACCGGTTTTGGCAGAACTGAAAACATTAAAAAATAAAAAATTTAACAAGGTACAATGTATGCATGACATAGTCTTATAATAAAAATAGACATGGAGGGCATCCAAAATGTCGATATTTTTCTAATGAAAGCACAGATATTTTGCCATTGTTTGTAACCCATAGTTGAGTAACATAAGCTTGCCTTAAAAACTCATCTTTGTTCACATATGTCATGAGGCAGGAACTGGAATTTATATAGGTGTATTTCCTGAGCTATATTGAAAATTTCCTTTTCATGGGAATGGATGGATTTATTTCTAACTATAAATAATCTCTTGATGCTTTGCAAGTGCAAAGATAAGCATGTAAATTTTGCACAAAATGCATTCTGAGAGCTGAAAATTTTTTCCTTATCGTATTTATCATCACATAATACTATCTTTTAGTATCCTCTTCATCCCCTTCATCCAACAACAGATTTATGAAGGCAGGAAGAAATCTTTATGTTATTCTTTATGGTGCCAGATTTATTACAAAATATTGGTATATGGGGAATGTTATTTCAGTAGAAAGACATACAGTTATATTGTAATGGATATAATTTTAATTACATTGAGCATGCTGATGCTGATCATATTTCTGTTCTATCGTTGGTGTTACTGTCAACATAATTGCTGTGGTCATAAATAAAAATGGTATTATTAGCATTTATATAAACTCCTTTGACCAATTTTATTTAAAAATTCTTCTCATGTTCTGTTTTGTTCCTAAGATGTTCTCAGATACTTACAATGTCTGTTTTTTATCTACACCACCACACTCTAACCACATTATTTCCTGTGCCCTGTTATTTTCAATACAGCAACAGTTAAAAATCATAGATCCAAAGTCAGGGAACTTTTCTCCATCAGAAGATGTAGGGACTAGAGGGAACACAGAGACTTTAGAACATAATATGCTGGGATGTGGACCACCACAACGTGCTTAGCTCTGGAGATGAACTTTAAGTGAAGGGGAGAGCATAATTCATTATGGTTTAGCATTTTTCTAAAAACCAGTAAATTTAGTTGTATTCTTTACTCAAGAACAATGACCTGTCTTATTTGAGAAGACCAGACATGCTTATCCAACCAAGGCCTGCATCAATCCACTCCAGATTCAACTCCTCTCTCACTGGGGGCTGGGAGTGAAATAACAGACTTATTTCCTTCCTGGGAACTGCCATATATATCAGACCACAGGAAAGATTGGGGCCAACATAGAGAAAACAACTGAAAACAAAAGTATGCTTGTGAGTACATGCATGGTGTGTGTGTGTGTGTGTGTGTGTGTGTGTGTGTGTGTATTTATCAGAGGCAGAGCTTGAGTAGTTTTGACAGTGCTGTCAAGGAACTGAAAAGTGTTGTATCTAAAAATTCAGGTCTTTTTTCCCTTGCAACTATAGACTTCATCCTGAATTGGAGGATTGGCATTCCAGTAACTGAAAAGACATGAAGTTCCTGGGTTTATATTTGTCGATAATTAAAAAGTATTGCTAGTAAATCATAGCCTGTCGTCATAGTAATGAGGTGAAAGGAAGGCAAACCTCAAAGGGAAATTTTAGATAAATTTCACACACACACACACACACACACACACACACAGGAATGCCCATTTTACAATTCATTTTTTTAAATTTATAGTGTATTAATCCTCTCATGAAAAATCTGCACAGTCATCACAGATAAAGTCACCAAAGAATCTTTATTCTTTTAAAAAATATATGTATTTTATTGATTTCCACAGATAGGAAGAGAGAAGGATAGAGAGCAAAAATGCCGATGAGAGAGAAACATCAACCAGCTGACTCCTGCACACCCCATACTAGGGATGTGCCCGCAACCAATGTGCATAAATTGACCGCAATCAACCTGGGACCTTTCAGACTGACGCTCTAGCCACTGAGCCAAACCGGTTCGGCGAGAATCTTTACTCTTTCTGTTCAATCTCCAGCTCACTTTTTGCCAGCACCAACATTGGCCTTAGCAGTCCCCCTGACTTTCTTCATTCTGTTCTTGCGTTCCTTCCTCTGTTTCCTCGAGGTCTTCTTCTTCTCATATAGGCCATGTCTTGCAAGCCTATGTTTGGTTTCATTTTTCTTTGCATAGTCCAATGAATCATAAATCATGCCAAAACAAGTGGTCTTGCCACTACCAAAGTGGATTCTGAATCCAAACACAAAGATGATATCAGGTGTGGTCTTATACATTTTGGCTAGTTTTTCCTGAATTTCTGTCTTGGGTACTGTTGCCTTCCCAGGGTGAAGGACATCAATGACCATTTGCTTCCACTGAGTAGTTGATTGATCATGACCTTCCTGGTCTGGATAGTTACCATGACATTTATGATGAAGGTTTATCTTCAAGCAGCGGGGAGGGGGTGGGGGGCAGGGGATGGGGGGTGGGGGGGAGAAGAGCTGCAATTATTTTCTATATCAAAATGTGAGTCATTTGGAAATTCCTATGGACATGCAGGGATGAGAGCAGCTAATAATTGATAATAGAACCATTTAATTAGTTAATTAATCTATTTACTTTAACTTTTACTTTTTGGGAAAAAGATTTGGGAATAAAAATGCCAAAGACAAGGGGGTTCCACAAGTTCTGGATTGGTGGGAATATCCATTGCAGAAATAATGCCCCTGTTGTCTCATTGGAGAAGAAATGGTTTTTCTTTTTCCTTAAAACTTGCACATCACTGCAAAAGTAAGGCTGACCTGGGCAACAGAACACTTAACTACACATTTGTTTAGAAATCTCACAATTGTACTGGCTACACTACTATATTTCTGTGAATAATAACTTTTTTATTTTTATTTTTTATTTTAATCTTCACTCAAGGATATTTCCCCCCATTAATTTTCAGAGAGTAGAAGGGATGTGAAGAGATACACAGAGAGAAACATCAATGAGAGAAAGATATATCAGCTTGTTTGCTCTTGCACACGACCCAGCTGGGGCCAGGATCAAGCCTGCAACCAAGGTATGTGCCCTGGACCAGAATCAAACCAATGACCATCCCATCAGTAGACCAAAAATCTAACCACTGAGCCAAACTAGAGAGGGCAATAATAACTTTTTAACACAGAGCAAACATAAACCACATTCAAGTTCAATTTCAATAACATATTTACTGTAGAAAAATGAGAAATATTAGATTAGAAAACTGTACAGCAATATTTATTTCATAATTAACTAAAATTTAAAGAAAGTTATAATTCTTTCATCAAGTTACCTAATTTCTTAAAACTAATTAGAAAAATAATGTTGAAAGTAAGCTAAACTAATATGTGTTCTTAAAATAATTTATTGCAGTCATAGTCAGAGGACAGCATACTTGATTACTAATTATGTACTAGCAATGACAGAGGTTCTTAAAAACATTCTGTTATTTAATTTCCATAATAATACCTCAAGTAAGGTTCATATATATACATTTTTTTACAAATGTGAAATAGAATATTCTAGGATTTAGTTTATTTGACCAGGACTAATATGTAATAACAGCAGAATTATAATAAAACTAGAGGCCCAGTGCACAAATTTTGTGCACTGGGGTGGTGTGTGTCCCTCAGCCCAGCCTGCACCCTCTCCAATCTGGGACCCCTCAAGGGATGTCCGACTGTCTATTTAGGCTCAATCCTACCTGGCAGTTGGACATCCCTCTCATAATCCAGGACTGCTGGCTCCCAACTTCTTCCTTGGTTGCCTTCCTGATTGCCCCTTAATGCTTCTGCCTACAGCCTGATCACTCCCTAACCACTCCCCTGACAGCCTGATAGATGCCTAACTGCTCCCATGCCAGCCTGGTCACTGCTAACTGCCCTTCCCTGCTGGCCTGATCGCCCACAACTTCCCTCCCTTGCAGACCTGATCCCTCCCAATAGCCCTCCCCTGCTGGTCATCTTGTCACGGCCATCTTGTATTCCATGTGGGGACAGCCATCTTTGACCACATGGGGGCAGCCATCTTGTGTGTTGGAGTTATGGTCAATTTACATATTACTCTTTTATTAGATAGGATGCTCAATGTAACACACACATGTGCATGCACGTGCTCACACGCACATACACACATAAGCACTCACATAAACAGTCTTATCTATTACTGGCAGAGCTGGACTAGTCTAGACAACAGCACAGAGGTATATGGGATCTGAAACATGAGACTTCAGTAAAAACTACCTGAGTGCCCCTTAAGGCAAAAACCTGTTTAATGAGACACTGACACAGTTTATATTTCTCAGTAATGAATAGGAAAAATGTTTATTCAGTTGAGACACTTACATGTTATACACTTAATGACATTTTGCTTCTCACAATGATTCTAACTATGGTGGATTTTATTACCAGGACTATTTAAAGAAAATAAAATCAGCATTCAAGTATTTTATTTATGGTTCACTGTGCATATGTGAAGAGACTGGATTTGAATTCAGACACTCTGGACACAAAGCTTTCACTCTTGGTACATATTATTTATAATATTTTCTCCACTTTTTGATGAATAAAGAACATCATGGGGTAAATTGACACACACCTGAGGACTCATTCTGAAGTGAATGACTCCTATACAGGGTTTTTAATAATGTACAAAAGCTGTTAAAAAGCTTTCTATCATCTTCTCCATCAGAGGCAGAGGATATGAGATTTTAAAAATTGGTAGAGATGTTACCAATATGCATGTCATTTTTTTTTATGAAGCATTAGTCATTTTCCTTAGAATTATAAAAATGATTAATCATGATTCTTTATTAATAAAAGTAAGATATTGGGATAAATATAACATGTGGCAAATTGTATACCCTACTGATGATGGAAGGGTATTCAAATCAGAAGAAAAGTAGCAACAAAGATAAGATGGTGACAGTGATGCAGAAAAACTCAGTTTGTTAGATTCATTCAAGGAAAGAGGCTCTACTACACAGAAGTGGGTGAAGGTATGAGAGGTTTAAGAGCTTGGAGAACACAGTTTCAGGGAGCCAGGACAATTCATAAAATTGAAATATGGATACACTTCATTATTAAACAAACATGAAGAGAATTTATAGATGAGAAACCCATGGTTTGTGATATTCAAAAATGAGATATTAGAAGTATTATAGTCTAGGAAAACTCCAATACGACGGGGAGGAACCTTCAGGAACAGGGGTAAGGATGAGGGTTCGGAGGAGGGAGAATCCACAAAAGCCTTATATTCAGACTCATTCTGTAACCCTATAACCCAGTAACCATTTTTAGGTTGATACTGAGAGCAAACAGGCTGATGATTTTTATCTTGTTTTCTAAAATTCACCCTATTGGGGTAAATTTTCTTCTTACATACCCCCAAAATCCAGGCATGTGTCTGTGACACGTCTACCTCCCAGTAATGCTTCCCTGATGTAATAGGCGGTAATCCCAGGACACCATTATCCTCATCTTCTTCTCTCTTATATGGATAATGTGCTTTTTGATAACAGTCAAAGAAGTCACTTCTCACTTCTCTCTTATATGCATTAGTAGAAATATTTGAATTAGCCCTCTGATGATCCAGGGTCATATTTGCTGTAAAAAAATAATTACAGTGCTAGGTGAGGAAAATGATGTACTATTACTTGAGACATTGCAAGAGAGATCTTCAGAATAAAATGAGTAGGAACTGAGAAAAACTTGTTTGGGTCTTTGAAGAGCAGGATAACATTGTGGCAAATTAATATGCATGTGTGTTGAAAGGAAAACATGGATCTTCACAACCTCTCACACCCTCTCCCACTTCTGTGTAGAGCCTCTTTCCTTGGGTACATCTAACAAACTGAGTGTATCTGTACCACTGTCTCATCTTTGCTGACTTTTTTTTTTCTTTTTCTGATTTGAACACCCTTTCTTTATCAGTAGGAATATTTGCCTCGTGTTACATTTATCCCAATATCTTACTTGCATTAGTAAAGAGACCTAATAGAAATGCAATATTCTAAAAGGAGATGAGGACAAGCTAGCTTCATGATACTGTGATTTTTACTCACCCCAGTAGCGGCGCACCTCTGTTAGTTCTGAAATTAGAAAAATTACATAATATAAAATATAAGCAAAATATATATTTTGTCTACATGTCTACATTCAAATCTATTTTCTCTCCGGATCAGGGGAAAGACTGGTGTCTATGTAAGGTGATACATGGAAGAATGAGAGGTGAACAAGACAGTTGACCACTCCCCAGTGAATATGCCCATATAGTCAGCACATAACATCCATTTTCCTTTGTCTCCTCTACCCACACCTAGAAACTGAACTCTTATTCTCTAACCACCATCATAATAAGAATCCACAGATACCCACTTGCTCTAGCATTCCTCACCATTAAACACTTGCAGCATCCCTCTCAGATCAGGAACTTGGAACACTCTTCTTTGTTTCTTGGAAAGAGTTTCTAGCTTCCTCAGAGTGAAGGTCTCACTCCTAGGGACAACAAAAAAAATCACACCTCTGGAATTTTTGTCTTTCCAAAACCACTTATTTTTATCTATTTACCCTATTGAACACTGGAGGCCCTGACCATGGACCTCTGAGACAATAGAGGGTATACCTCTGCACTTAGAGCTCTTTTCTGGACCCCTGAAAAAGTAGAAGGTAGACTTCTGAACTTAGAGCCAAAAAAATTGTGCTTGGTCCACTTTCCACTTTCCAAAAGGTCCAGGTGCCTTTTGTTTGATCTTGGGAAGGAGTATATCTCTCAGAAGCACAGTTTATTCCTTTCAACATGAATATCCCCTCCCTCTCTAATTTCTAAAAATCATATGAAATTATATGAAATAGTGGATTTCTTTAAAATGCAAAATTTGGTACCTTGCAATGAATTAATGTAAGGAAAAGCCATGACATGGATGTAGAGTTTCAGCATTATGACAAGAAAGGAAGGTTGCAGAACCTAGTTCCTGGTGGTTTGAGACATTCTGTGTGGGAATATTGTCTGGAGAGGAACAAAACCTTTAAATATAGGGAGGCCCATGGAACAATATGTGAGATTTCAGTTGCTCTGGGGGAAAAAAATGTAACATTTGGAAAAGATATTATAGACACTGTACTTACAGTGGTCTGAATTTCATGTGCTTGGAAGAGATTGATGTTACCAAGTAGAAATTCAAATTTAGACCTAGCAGTAGCTGCTTTAACCAAGTGGTTAGAGCATCAGTCTGAGGACTAAAGGATCACAGGTTCTGTTCCTATCAAGGGCATGTGACCCAGTTGCAGGTTTAAAGTTTAGACTCAGTTTGGGCATGTGTAGGAGGCAACCAGTTGATGTGTCTCTCTCTCATATTGATGTTTCTCTCTCTCTCTCTCTCTCTCTCTCTCTCTCTCTCTCTCTCTCTCTCTCTCTCTCTCTCTCTCTCTGTCTCTCTCTCCCTCACTATCACCCTCCATACATTCCAATCACTATCTGACAATCAATGGATAAGAAGTAGTACCGTGTTTCCCCCCAAATAAGACCTACTTACAGGTTTCCTTCTGAGTGAAATATAAGGCATCCCCCCGAAAATAAGGCCCCCCCTAGGCTCTGTCTCAGAATGCTATTGCTAAACATGAGAGATTTGGTGCACTGATTCTGAAAGAAATGGAGTCACAAGAAATTCACCAGGAAATTCAGGAATTGGATTGTTATGATGATATTCCAGAAGATGATGACATGATTGTCATTGAATAAATGAGTAAATTCTTGATACTGTAGGATTCACAGTTTGTCTGGTTTGTGTTGACAACTACCGTACTACCGTACTGTATACAGGTAATAAATTTCCTTTATTTTCATTTAACAATAAATGTGTACCGTATTCTTCTTCATGGAAAAATAAGACATCTTCTGAAAATAAGACCTAGCGCATCTTTGGGAGCAAAAATTAATATAAGATACTGTCTTATTTTTGGGGAAACAGGGTATTTTTGAGGATTAAAAAATTTTTGGACCCAAAGATGGTGCCCTTCCATTGCATCAAAAGTACATGAGCAAGAGCCCTAGTTGGTTTGGCTCAGTGAATAGAGCATCAGCCTGTGGACTGAAGGATCCCAGGTCTAATTCCAGTCAGAAGCATATGTCTGGGTTGTGGGCTTGATCTCCAGTAGGCGGGGTGGGGTGGGGGGGGGGGAGGAGAAGTAGGCAGTTGATCAATGATTCTCTTTCATCATTGATGTTTCTATCTCTCTCTCCCTCTCCCATCCTCTCTGAAATAATTTTTTTTTTTAAAGAGTACGTGAGAAAGATGGATCAATTATTTGTGTCAGGGTCAAAATATTCCTTAATATTTAAGTCTGTTTTTTGGAAAATACAGAGAAACCATTTTGGTTTGAGTGTTTTATAACTATTGAGAATAAACCAGATTTTATGGTAGGATATTTAGGTGGGGAGAAGGTGCCAAGTTTGGATTAGAGGCAGTTAAACATAAGATGATGCAATATCAGGCTCATATGACCACATTAATTTTGTTCAATCAGCATGTCTGTATCTAACTTAGATTTCTGCAGTTCATAGGTGATGGTTTTATTGTTGGAATGTCATATTTCCTTCAGCTCCTAAGTAACCAGAATTTGAAACAACTCAGTTATATTTAAATTTCTGCTCTGGGATAGAATATACCAGGTCTTTTTATATTGGGAGAAAGTCAATTGGTAGGGGGGGGAGGGGTGTGGGGAGACATATGTACTACTATTTATAATACTTTAAACAATAAAAAAAAATTTTTTAAAGTACTCAATCCATATGTGAACAGAAATTCAAGATAAAACTACAACCAGCCTGTTCTGCCCTGAACAATATTTTATCCTAATTAACTACCGGATAACTTTAATGGCTTTAAACCTCTTGTTACAGGAGAAAATGTTCATTGTTCGTCTTTCACACATACCTTTTCAGGATGCCATTCACATCCTAGGGACAAAAGAGAAAATAGGAGTCATAATAATAAGTCCTCCTCACTTACAAAGCTTCATCACATCCCCAGCAACCCCCTGATCTGGTGGGAATAGAAATGGTCCTAATGTGAGAACAAAATAGTAAAGAAAAGACCTAGGTCTATCATTTCAGAAGACTCATAAAAAGTTGTCAGTTTCCCTAAAATATTGACCCTTGTGGCAGCATACCTTTAGCTTCCAGTACCTGGAGATGAGACATATTTATGAGAAAAGCATGAGGTCTCTCATATTTCCCATGTTCCTAAGACTCCTCATGAAATTATTTGAATAATTTCATGGTTTGTTCATTTATTCAAGACAAATGTAAAGTGATTAACTATACTTGTCAAGTTTTATGCCTTGATCGGAAGAATCAAAGATGAGTAGTTATAGTATTCCTCAAAAATTCACATGGCTTCCATTGAGTGTGCAAGCAAACAAATGTATTAATGTAGGTATTTCTCAAATCTCCCTTCTTGTTACGCCCACTATCCACAGTTCATCTTATACACACCCTTAAATTTGACACATACTTATGTATAATTTTTTCCAAAGTCTTTATTTTTACTCAGATGTGTCTTTTTAAATGCAGGTTACTGTAATGCCTAGTAAGCAGCCACAGGAACCAGTAACTTAGGCTGATTACTATGTAACTTACTTTTCAGCAAACAAATTACTACCTCTTTTATATACCTTTGTCCATGTTACCAAGATCTATTTGGTCACTGTTCTAAACACTACAATATTTACTGTGTTTCAGTCTCTAATAAGCCAGTTTAGTTCATATTATTAATTTTTTGTCATCTGAACTTGTTTATCATCACAGATTTATTCCTTTAAACAGATATGCACAAATATATTTGGTATCACCTATCTGAGACTAATTTTTTTCATAAAGCCCAAAACTAGGCCAACCAGAGCATCAACATACACACACATACAAAAAAAAAAATTTTTTTTTGCTTTGTTCTCTGTATTAGGGTTTTGTTTTTTTGTACATGATAAAAAAAAATTACAAATAGGTAATGTAGAGAAGATGAAAATGAATTTGGGGGACAGTTGTAATTTAATTAAGCTTCATTTTGAAGCTCAAACATTGCAATCAGGATCTGGTTTATTGAAGTCAGGATTTGGTTCATTCTCAAAACTCTATTTACCTCATTATTGACTTTATCCTCAGTTCATAAAAAAAAAAAAAAAATTATTTCCTCATATAAATTTTCCCCCAAAAGTATATCTTCCCAGTTATATAAAATAATTCCAAGGCCTATATGGCATGGACCTGCATTGGATTAAGTGCCCATATTAAAAGTATCATTCACTATTGCTGAAGTAATATAAAGCAATGTTGGAGGCAAGTATCCATATTTTACTGGAATTAATTTAGTATTAATATGCATTAGATCTTGATAAAATAGGATGCATATTGTAATGAGAAGAGCAACTACCACAAAAATAAAAACGCATAAAACAAATTTTATACTAGAAATATTTGGTTAACTCAAAAGAAGCGATTCAATGAGAAAGAGAACAATAAAAATTTAGGTGGAATATAAAAGCTAATAGCACAATATAAGTTATATAGAGCTACGTTAACAATTGCATTAAATTCCATTGCCTTAATTTACATTTAAAAGACAGAGAGTGCTGGACTAACTAAAAAGCATCTTATAGTATTGCTGTTTACAGGAGATATATTTTGGATTCAAAGATACAAATTTGGCAAAAATAAAAAGAGAACCTTGGACAAAATGATGGATTAAGTAAATAATGTGCTTGTTTCCTCCAAAACTTGAATCAAAATTATATTTTAATTATAGAATAACCACATTTGAGAACCACATGATGACAAGCTGAACAGACTGCTATAACTAAAAATTTGAAGAAGCCACCTTGAGGCTGGTAGGAAGGGTGGAGATGAAACTGGATGGTTATATACCCATAAGTGGAGGTTAAGAAATGGGTCAGCCATTTGGACTGAAGGGCGATTCCACTCACCAATGTACAACAACAATCAAGACTCAGCTACAATAAGAGAGTACACACAACCCAATAGCACCTTTTTCAGATGAATATGGAAACTGTACCATTGGTTCCCAAAGGACACCTACCATATAAGGCCATTTTGCCAAGGCTGAGAGATGTAACAGATATACCAAATGCATAGGAATAAACATGGAAAGGCAGCAAAAAAGATGAGGCAAAGAAACATGTCCCAAATGAAAGAACAGGGCAAAATTTCTGAAAAACAACTGAACAAAATGGAGGCAAGCAATCTACCAAATGTAGAGTTCTAAATCAAATGCAGGTTATAAGGATGCTCAATGAACTTAAGAAAAGAACAGATTATTTTACTGAGAACTTCAACAAAGAGTCAGGAAACTTGAAAAAGAAGACAGACAACATAAAAAGACCCAGTGAGAAATAAATAGAAAGAGAATCTTAAAGCAGCAGGAGAAGAGCAATCAGTTACCTAACAGGAGGCTCCTGTAAGACTATCAGCTGATTTATTTCTTTAAAAAAATATATATTTTATTGATTTTATACAGAGAGGGAGAGGGACAGAGAGCCAGAAACATCGATGAGAGAGAAGCATCAATCAGTTGCCTCTTGCACATCCCCCAGCGGGGATGTGCCTGCAACCAAGGTACATGCCCTTGACCTGAATCAAACCTGGGATCTTTCAGTCCGCAGACTGATGCTCCATCCACTGAGCCAAACCGGTTTCGGCTATCAGCTGATTTCTTAACATGAAATATTCAAAGTGATGAAAAGCAATGACCTACAACCTATATTACTCTATCCCACAAGGCTATCATTTATAATTTAGGGAACCATAAGGAGCTTCCCAGATAAGAAAAAGCAGAAGTTCACCACCACCAAACCAGTATTACCAGTAATGTTAGAGACTCAAGAAAAAGAAAAATATATAAATAAGAATAATTGTAATGTAGAAGACATGACTGAAATATGGTAGCACTCATACTTGGGTAAAAACTGCTGTTTGAATTTTAACCTTGCTATCTGACTTCTACCTTCGATTGCTTGCTTAAACAATAGGGTAGTTACAGGAGATTGACTCCCACTGACTCAGTAGCTTCAGGGGTAGAAACCGTAGATAACCTTTAGTTCTGCTTTTGTATTATGGGCAAGATAGGGCCACATCCAATGTCAAGCAGAGTGTGACTGGGAACCAACCCTGCAGGCTGTCCCCAGTCTTTAGAATTTAGTCCTGAGGGGCCAATCAGGGTTAGCCGAGGCAGTGACATCACCGACCTGAATAAACTCCTGGACTGGGCGATATTCGCTCTCTTCCGCCATGCTGCCGGCATGAGTGGGATAGCCTATGCTAGCATAGAGATGGCTCTTTTGTTTATTGCATCGGACTCGGCTCCCTGGTGGTCCTTGGGGATCATGACTGGAATCCCCAGCCAGGACCATGAGGGACCCCCATTCCGAAGAGCCTGACTGGCCGCGGAAGGTGTGTGTTTGTCTGTGTTTTTGTGTGAGCGCTCTGGAGGGACTGCCCCTCCATCGGGGCTCTCACCTGGGTGTTTGCCGGCTGCTGCGTCAGCCAAGGTTTGAGCCCGGATTCGAATCTGTAATAAACTCTAGCATGCTTAATCAAATTGGCTCCGGTGGTCCATCTCTTGGGGACTCGCTTCATAACAATGTCCAACAATATCAACCAGCTCAATTTGACTCTAACTGCCATCTATAGACCCTTTCACCAAATTATTATACATTTTTTAAAAATTCATATAAAATTCATATTTAAGTATCAATATATTTAAAAGACTTAAGTTATAAAATATATGCTTTCTGATTAGAAAGGAATTAACTTTAAAATATGCAACAGAGCTGAAACCTGTTTGAGCGTTGGTCTGCGGACTGAGGGGTCCAGGACTGAGGGGTCCCAGGTTCGATTCCAGTCAAGGGCATGTATATTGGCTGTGGGCACATCCCTGGTGGGGAGTGTGCAGGAGGCAGTTGGTCGATGTCTCTCTCTCATAGATGTTTCTAGCTTTCTATCCCTCTCCCTTCCTCTCTGTAAAAAAATCAATAAAATATATTTAAAAATAAAATAAAATGAAATATGCACCAAAATAAAAAGTAAAATCACCAAGTGTTGTAAATTAAACAACACAGTTTCAAATATTTCAAGGGTTAAGATGAAAACAACAAAGAAAAGTTGAAAATACATTGAGTTGAATCTAAATACCAATAATCCAAAAGTGTGGGATATAACAAAAACTATGCATTTATATAATTAAAAAATAACAGAAAAGTTTGTTGAATCAGTGATCAAACTTCCCATTTTAGGAAGCTAGGAAAAGAACAATAAATTAAACCAATACACATATACACACAACCACATACACACACTTACGTATGAAAGTGCATTTACATATACATTCACAAAGTAAACTATATAAGTAAGAATATAACTCTATGATATTGAAAGGTTAAAAATTAATTAATTAATTATTGTAATTAAGTTTATTCTTGAAAAACATCAATAAAATTAAGCAAATATAACTTGAAATATGGTAGCAATCATACTTGGGTAAAAACTGCTGTTTGAATTTTAACCTTGCTATCTGACTTCTACCTTCGAAACAATAGGGTAGTTACAGGAGATTGACTCCCACTGACTCAGTAGCTTCAGGGGTAGAAACTATAGATAACCTTTAGTTCTGCTTTTGTATTATGGGCAAGATAGGGCCACATTCCAAAGTCCAGCAGGGTGTGACTGGGAACCGACCCTGAAGGCTGCCCCGTCTTTAGAATTTAGTCTTTAGGATCTAGGAACAGATAACTGATTGGCCAGTACTTTGTCCTGAGGGGCCAATCAGGGTTAGCTGAGGCAGTGACATCACCGACCTGAGTAAAACCCCTGGACTGGGAGAAATTCGCTCTCTTCCGCCATGCTGCCGGCATGAGTGGGACAGCCCATGCTAGCATGGAGATGGCTCTTTTGTTTATTGCATTGGACTCGGCTCCCTGGTGGTCCTTGGGGATCACGAATTCGTCTGGAATCCCCAGCCAGGACCATGAGGGACCCCGGTCCGAAGAGCCTGACTGGCCACGGTAGGTGTGTTTGTCTGTGTTTTTGTGTGAGTGCTCTGGAGGGACTGCCCCTCCATTGGGGCTCTCACCTGGGTGTTTGCCAGCTGCTGCATCAGCCAAGGTTTGAGCCCGGATTCAAATCTGTAATAAATTCTAGAATGCTTAATTAAATTGGCTCCGGTGGTCCATCTCTTGGGGACTCGCTTCATAACTTAACTAAACTGACAAAAAAAATCACTGAAATGAGGAATAAAAGATGGGCCAATACTGTAAGTACTGTATAAATGAAAGAGATTCTAAGAAATTATAATGACTAAATTCATGTTTGTAAATCTGACAACTTAGAATAGAAAAATTTCTACAAAGATGTACATTATAAAAAACTGATTCCAGAAATACACACACACACACACACACACACACACACACACACACACCAAGAAAATCTCACAAGTAAAAAAAATATTTATATTTTAAACCTTTCCCCAAAAAAGGCTCAGAGTTAGATGGTTTCACTGATGAATTTATTGAATAATGAAAGAATAAATAGTACCAATCCTTCTCAATAGCTTATCCAGAAAACAACTGTTTATTCAGAGGAAGAAGAAGAGTCTTATGCATTCTATGAAGAAAAAACAACTCTTGGATAATAAAGTGGTATCTGAAAAGAAAGTTCTCAGCTAGGTCACAAATATAGTGCCCTGCAGAATATAATTGAAGACAATAGATCTTTTCTCCACAGTCATTTTTGCTCTATAATTAGTACATTATAAAAGTAAAAATGATATTTTCCCTTGTTACTCATCATTTGATGATTTCCATAACCTCCAAAGTAGATGCAAGTAAGGGTTATTATAAGACCAAAGGAACCACAGTGTCACCATAACAAACAGCACAGCCACACATTAGAGGAAACTTAGTCTTTATTTTCCTCAAATTCAGACGCTGATGATTCATTCTGAGTCTTACCTGCAGCATCTCTGCTGTTGACCCCTGCAACCGACACTGCAGATCCCAGATGAGATCTCTCAACAACTGGCTCTGCTGGGTGAGCTCACTGCCACCCTGGGCCAGGTAACTGAGAACACTTCTCTCCTCTGTCTCCAGCCTTTGCAGCTCCTTCTCTTCCTCATGGTCCAGGATACCTCTCAGTTCTTTATAATAATCCTGGATACTTTGGCTTTCATTTTCTATTAGATTCTTCAGGAATGAAAAAGAAAGAGACTCAGGCTACCAGGAAGAGACTGGAAGCCAGAAAAAGAAGTATTTGATTTGGAAGTTAGGTGGAAGCACAGGAACAATTCTTAGGGAGGCTGATATTGCCTATTATGTCTTCTCATCACATCCCAAAATAATGGCCTCAAATCTGCACTGTTGAAAAATGGGACACATAGGTGTGGCTCAGCTCTCACAGAGCTGCCTAGGGCAGTCATGCCTTCCAGCAGTATTCCTGACCCCCACCTCAACCTCTATCTAATGTTGAACATGAGGGACATGAGCCATTGGCAATAGTCTTCCCCTGAAAGAGTTAAAGGCTCAAAATAATCACAGACATGAAAATAGAATTCACTAGCCTTCCTCACCAGATAATCTCTCTATGAGAATAACTAACCTACAAATATCTGTGTTAGTTTGTAACAGATTCATTTTCTGCCCGAGCCCTACCAAGGAAAGGATGAAGAATGACTAATCAATAAATATGTCCAGAGAACAAGAAGACAAGGAGATCCTAGTGACTAGCACCCAAGGTCCTACCCAGAATCTTATCTAGCTACCTCAGGAAGAGTCTCCTCCTACCTTCCAGGAAGTTGTTTCCTCTTCAAGGTAAGCTCCCAATTTTTCAGCTTTCTGCTGCTTTGCAATCAGACTGGCCAGAGCTCTCTGGATCTTCTCCTGTGAGAGAGGAATCACATCAGTGTCAAGCTTTGGGCTTTCTTATCATCAGGAGAGAGGACAAATGGGGAAGAAATCAGGTTTATCTCTAAAGAGACTTGAGTTTATAGAAACTAAAAAATGACAATTTGAATATGTGATTTGAAGGAAATCTGATATGGCTATGTATTCTTTAAGACTCAGGTCATATAAGTCACCATTACTATGGCAAGAGAAGACTGGCTCTTTTTGCCCTAGAAGAAAAAACTTGATCCTGTGTAAGGAAAGAATTTAGGGTTTGATTCGCTCTCCTGTCCAAAGGGACAATGATATCTTTGCTTGTGCACCAAGCTTCCACCTATTAGCATAAGGTATAAAAATGTCTACTTCTGATTTAGTGTCTGCTCATCATTTGAATGCACAGAAATATCTTTCAGGTCTTGGAAGGTGAACATAGGAAGAAATGTGACCACAGGCCTCAGTGTTATGGTGGCAATATAATTACAGTCAAATGCAAAGTTAAGATTTCCCATCAAATGCTATTTTCTGCCCTGTCTTTCCTCCATTCCAGTCTGTTACCTGGTACTCCTGGGCAATCTCCTCCATGAGGAATGTGTGGTGACCACGGTGCTCCTGAGACCGCTCACAAAGCCAGCAGATGATCTTCCCATCCTCCTTGCAGAAGAGCAGGAGTTTCTCTCCATGGTGCACACAGAGATCACTCTTTTGCTCCTCCTCTGGGCTCACCTTGACCTCCTTGAGCACCTCCACTATGTTAGCCAAATGCAGACTAGGCCGCAGGTTCCCAGGCTGGTATCTGATCCTGCACACAGGGCAGCTGCTCTCTCCTTGGCTGATGACGGACTCCCCATTGTTTGCAGTGATGCAGGCTTGGCAGAAGCTGTGCCCACAGTCCAGGCTCATGGGTTCTGTTAGGAGCTCCAAGCAGATGGGGCAGGTCATCACCTCCTTTATGTTCACCAGGACTCCTGAAGCCATCGCAGCTGTTCCTTGTTCCTTCCTACCTGTTCTGAACTGAGACTCCTCTTGTTCACTGATCTCTGCTTGGTTGGAAAGGTTAAAAGGGGGCAGAGTAAGAACAGTGGGAATAAATGTTGTTAATTGTATAGAAATCAAAGACAGGGAAAGAACAAATATAGGGACATAAAAGATGAGGTAGAGAGACAAAGGAATAATCACAGTGACTTGGCAAAAAGGATTTTTTATAACAATTTTAAATACTTTAATCTGACATGACAAACTTTATTTCTTTCTGTGCAATGGTTGTTATTGACCTTTACATTTACCGAACAAAGGGACGGTCTGAGGTCTCTTATACCAAGAAAAGATGTTTGTGTGATCCAACATCTCTCCTTCTTTTCTTTACCAAACAGATCCTCAGTAATAAATGCACCAAACCACTTTTGGGTCTGGGTTTCTATACCCACTCTTCTATCAGCAGGCAATGCTGCCCCTGGTATCTGTAGTATTCATTCTCAAACTTCAGTCAAGAAGTGTGTTCCTTTATCAGAAAGACCTGCTCTAACTTGCTTATTTACAGTGTAACCATTGCCATCATTTGCTGTGTGTTTGAAAAGATTTCTCTTATTATTTTGACATGATATGTGACACTGTGTTTGTGTACCTGGCAAGAGCAAACCCTTTATCAGATCTGTAAATAGAGACAGTAAGTGACTTACAAGGATCTCATCTTCAATGCACTGAGTTGCAATGAACCTACTATGTTCAAGGTCCCCATCAGAGGTCTGTTCCTACATTATTGAGTGAATCAAAGATGAAAGAAGTAACTTAGGAAATTGTGAGAATTTTTGTCTTGATAAAAGTTGAAATTTCACTTTTTCCTGGAAATTTTCCAATGACATTGATAGGAGCTTCATGGTGTGTATGTATGTTGACGGTGAATTGAGATAGCAAAATATACTTTAGAATCATGCAAGTCACATATCTGAAAAATTAGAAATTCAGATGAAATAGATATCAGTCTTTGGAAAGAAATCTCAAAATATTAAGAAAGGTCATTCAACTAGTTTTTTGTTTGTTTTTTTTACATATGTTTTTATTGATTTCAGAGAGGAAGGAAGAGGGAGAGACAGAAACATTAATGATGAAAACCATTGATCCGATTCCTCCAGCAAGTCCCACACTGGGGATCGAGCCTACAATCTGGGCATGTGTCCTGACAAGGAATCGCACCATGACCTCCTGGTTCATAGATCAATACTCAACTACTGAGTAAACTGGCAGGACTCAACTAATTTTTCATCACTATAAATTACATGCTAATACTAATACCCCTAAACACAAAAATGCATCTGAACAGAGAGTTCAGACCAGTATGACCCTGACACTCACTTGGAAAGTACAGCAAATTTATATATATATATAAATTTTGTTTGTCACATCAGCTTGCACATATATAAACAATACTAGAGAAATGTGTGTGTGTTGGGAAATAAAAATAATGGAACAGGCCAAAGCCGGTTTGGCTCAGTGGTAGAGCGTCGGTCTGCGGACTGAAGGGTCCCAGGTTCGATACCGGTCAAGGGCATGTACCTTGGTTGCGGGCACATCCCCGGTGGGTGGGGTGCAAGAGGCAGCTGGTCGATGTTTCTCTCTCATCGACGTTTCTAGCTCTCCATCTCTCTCTCTTCCTCTCTATAAAAAATCAATAAAATATATATTTTAAAAAATAATGGAACAGGTAAAGAGCTATCCAGAAATTCTAACTTGAAAACATAGTGGTTGACCTGAAAGATAAATATTATGGAAATATGGCATATGAGGGAGAAAAAAAGTATTAGGTAAAGGAAATGACCTATTAATTGAAGACACCACCTTGACTGATTTTGAAAATACTGGTGTGGCTGGTGTGAAAAAACTGCTGGGCCTTTGGTATCACATGAGCTTGTAGTGATAATTCACCAATTTTGTAACATTTACAAACACTTTCCAAGAGCAAAAGGAATGATCAGTGTTGGGCTGTGGAATATTAGATAGATTCAGTAGAATTGGAGAAAGTGAGTAGGATATATGCACAGTTTTCCAAGAAGCACGGTAGCTTTCAGGACAAGGAGGTGAAGGGAATGGGGAGCAAGGGGTGAGAGTGAAATATAGGATGAGGTAAGAGAAAAACATCAGTAGTTCTATTATATACTTTGTAACAAAGGGTCAGCATCAAGCCTGGGCTCTTTCTTCCTATAAAGGTAATATTGGCTAGTTCTTCTAATAAGTTGGGTTTTTGTTTTGTTTCTGGAGAATTCACGAGCCTACAATAAAGTGGAAGGTCAGCTGCCTTCAAGGCCACATAGCTGATAACAAAATTAGACTGATTTGGAAAGTGCATTGGACTAAGAGGACTTCCTACGTACCTCAAGTGCCAGGTAACAAGCTTAGACTTCATTTTCCATAAGGGGATTGAGACATTTTAGCCACCTGTGTCTCTTTTAGGTCCTTGGACTTTGTGCCTCCTGGCTTTCACAACTAATTTGCACTCTAGCTCTGTTTTCATAACCTTTGGTGGTTTCTCACACATGTACTAAATCTGGCTTCTCAAAAGGCTGAGATAACAGGAATGAAGTATTTTTTTTTTTATTATAGCATTGAGAAGATCATCACTAATAGCTTTGCAAAGGTAGCCAATGTCAGCATGATCAGTCTCCTGTCCTGTATCTCCAGCTCGGCTAAGTGACCCTGGCAGGTACCTATAAGGTCACATAGATAGTAATGACCATCCAAATTGGAAATGATGCTGGTGGTCTGTTAGGAAGGGTATTATAGAGTGGTGACACAGTGTTATTCATTCTCCCACCTGGAATGAGTATGGCCCTGTAGCTACAGGTAAGGCTCAGGATTCTCTAAGGAACTCCAAATAAATAGGGCTATGAAACAATAAACAAAGAAAGAAAAGATCTTAATAGATACCCATGTTCTAATGGTTGTCAAAGTTTGAAGGTAAAAGAAAGATATGCAGTATGAGATAAGTTTTCCCTTTACTATGTGCTCAGAGGCAGAAGTTATAACAACTGCATGGAGATGAATTTAGACCCACTAACACTGTCCACTGATGCAATGCTCATCAGACATGAAGGGAACCTGATAAGGAATGAGGCTGAAGGAGAACTGAAGTGTATTCAAACTATTGCTCCAGATACTGAAAACAGCCCAGAGACCATATGCGGTTAGCCCCTGGTTGCAGAGACTTTGGTCCAGAGTTTTTATGACTGCAGCATAATCCAAACAAGGTGTAAGAACCTCCAAATATCTCTCATCTTGTCAAAGATCCAACAAATCCTGAGATCCACCAAGATCCTATAGAGGAGAGAGGAAAAGAGCATGCATTCTGCTTTGGGGCTGCAGAATTTATTTTTTTTAATTTTTATTTTTTAAATATATTTTATTGATTTTGTACAGAGAGAAAGGGAGAGAGATAGAGAGTTAGAAACATCAATGAAAGAGAGTCATCGATCAGCTGCCTCTTGCACTCCCCCCCCCCCCCCCCCGCCCCTCACTGGGGATATGCCCGCAACCAAGGTATATGCCCTTGACCAGAATAGAACCCGGGACCTTTCAGTCCTCAAGCCGACGCTCTATCCATTGAGCCAAACTGGTTTTGGCCAGAATTTATTTTTATGGTGGGGCTACAGGAGCTAAGGTCAAAGCAGCTGCTGCCACAGGACACAGAAGAGTAAAGTGCAGAAGAACTTGAGTCCTCACATAAGGTGTTGATTCCACCACTACCTAAGCAGTGACTCTGTGGCTCCAGAGCAGGCAGGGAGATAAATATGGAGTGGTATCTACCCTGGAGGGATATAACAAATGCCAAGCTGAGGGGTTTGTGCCCCACATCAGGCTCCCAACCCTTGCCAGAGACCTGAGCTCACAAAATGTCTGTCTTCAAAAAACAATAAGGCTTATGCCCAGGAGAACTATAGAGGTATAGGGAATAGGTTATTCCTCTCTTAAAGGGTTCCTGCACAGGACTTGAAGGACTGATAGTATTTGCACTAGGACCCACTCAAAAGCAGAGGTTTGAGAATTGCCTAGACCAGTGGGGGTCGGCAAACTCATTAGTCAACAGAGCCAAATATCAACAGTACAATGATTGAAAGTTCTTTTGAGAGCCACATTTTTTAAACTTAAACTTCTTCTAACACCACTTCTTCAAAATAGACTCGCTCAGGCTGTGGTATTTTGTGGAAGAGCCACACTCAAGGGGCCAAAGAGCTACATGTGGCTCACGAGCCACAGTTTGCCAACCACGGGTCTAGACCATGTGTGAAGATCTCTTTTCTGCTGGAGGAGTGGAAGCCTGTCGGATTTGCCTGAGGCAGAGATGTGGGAGTGGGAGTGACATTGGGGCTCCATCCTCTATCTTGCCATTGCAGGGCTCCATTTTCATCTAACCTGTCAGTGCTCCTGACTGTACGTGCTGCATCCCCCTGCTGCCGGGAAAGGGCTCACGCCTCATTCCTCTTGCAGGGCCACCACCCATGAGAGCTAGAACTCTTGAGAAAGTTAATTAATGTGGTGCAGATTAAAACCTTGATAGAAGGAGGTAGGTTAGAAGACAGATCTAAATATAGAGGAATGGGAAGAGTTGCAATATTTCTGAGTTCCCCAAGTGTCCAAATGCCAAGAACAGGTTCACCTTTTCAATGATGGTTACTGACCCATGGTACAGAAGAGGTATCAAACATGTTGACTAAACCCCTTGTATGACTTTATCACATTATGGAGATACTAGCTCTCAGGTCAATTTGTTTCAAAGAAGTCATTTGGGTGCATTCTATAGAAATTAAGAGTTTTATACCATAGGTGAATTAATTTATTGTGATTTTAATAAAAAAAATTACTTTCTCCTGTTTTAAGGGACCTGTAATAGCCCCTGAGAATTCAGTTAGTTTACACCAGACATGGAACTAGTTCCAGTATAAAAAACAAACAAACCAGATACATGATCTCTGAGATGAAGGAGGAAAAGAAAGTACACATCAAGCCAAAACCGGTTTGGCTCAATGGATAGAGCATCGGCTTGGGGACTGAAA